TCCCTCTTTAGAACATTTGTAACACTGACATATCTTATGCTTAAACAAGCACATATTCAGAATGCATAATTCTCCATTTTTGAGATTATAAAAAAAACAAACTACACAATGTTACACTTTAAGTCTGAGTACATTTCAACTGATTATTAGTGTTCTACACATTCGACCATAACCAAATGAACATTGTATAACATCACTATAACTTAACACTACGTGTAATATATGTTCTTAAAATTAAAAAAAGAAAATTAAAAATGATTAACAAGAAAAAATGAAGATGGCTAGTGCGAAGGCAAGCTGGGTCAGTACCATAACAGAAAATGAGTTATACAAAAAGAAATAAAAAATAAAATATGAAAAAGTAGAAACAAAAACTGATAAGAATACAGGCAAGGCTAAAACATGTGTTTCACACTTTTAAGATCCACCTCATGTGCACTCCAAATAAAAAACCTGCCATTAGACCCCCACTGTGTGATTCCACATCTAATACTTTAATCTTTCTCCCCCCCTGTTTCAACTTGCTTAAACATTCCTATGGCAACCATCTTATTTCCTTGTGTCAGGCACTTTCCAAGACCACTTATTCCTCTTTTCCTCCCACACTACAGGGCAATCAAAATGCTGCTTCAGACAATACAGGTCAGTCACAATGCAGGTTCTATCAGCAAACAACTGCAAGGAACAAAAAAACAAAATGTTAACATGCTGCATTACACAACACTAGTTTTTTATTTTATTTAAAAACCTGCATTATGTGTTAGAATTTTGGGGCCTATCTTACCAATCCTACAGGTCGGTGTCAAACCAGGCCAGCTGGTTGCTGTCCATCAGATCCTGGGTGTGGCCGAGGTCTGGCAGAGGATCGGTGTGGTGGCCCAGGTCCGGCAGCGCGTCAGCATGGTAGTCTGCACCGTCCATCATGGGGTCCAACAGGGAGTCCTGGCCGTAAGCTGCTGGGTAGGTCCGGTATGCGCCATCTGCACAGGAAGTGACATTAAAGTGAGAAAGAAACCAGATCAATCGAGGTGCACAAAGCAATAGATACAACAAACCGTAGAAGCCAACACACTTTCAGCTGATAAGTAACAAAATTACTGCGGAAAGATGGACGGGGAGGTCACTCACCATCCTGCCTGTAGGCCAGCGGGTCTCCCTGTGCTCCCATATCCAGCCCCAGGTCTCCGGTCTTTAATGAATCCGACAGTGACACGTTAATCATTTCTGCCCCCAAACTCACCACGCAGCGTGCTTAAATACAGGCATCGTCCACTGCGGGGGCCTTCACTCACGTCATTCCAGGCCATGGGCTCGGTCCGGAACAAGGAGCTGGTCAGCTCCACCGACAGGCGCTTCTTGTAGTCCTGGGGCTTGTCCTCGGACATGCGGAACAGGACAGCAGCAGCGTAGGTGGCTGCAAGATAACAGGGGTCAGACGAGGCGGGCGGCGAGGACAAAAGGCGCCGGCTGTGGGCCTGCACTCACCGACGCCCTCGTTGCGGGAGTGCAGCAGCTCGGTGAGGGGCGCGGTGGCGCCCTCGGCTTCGATGGCCTCGGCAGCTTCTTTGTCCTGGGCCAGCTCGCACAGCACACCGGCAGCCACACGCTGGATGTTCTCCACTGGAGAATAAAGCAACTGGAAACGGCAGAGCAGGAAGACAAATGGGCCAAAAGATTAACACCGGGGCACGAGACACACAAACTCCTGTTCTGTGGCAGAAAGCGGGGTTGGCTTTTACCTGGACAAAGAGTGGAATGGTGTTTAGCCCTCTGATGACGATTCTGTTGTGGACATCCCGGGCCAGGATGTGCAGAGCTCCTGTGCAACCTTCAACTATCTCCTCCATGCGCACGCCCTCCTGGATGTGTCAAACAAGAGCACAAGACATTAGATACGTGTAGAGCCCAGAGTTGGAGGCTGCATCCCATGTTCCAGCACGTCACGTACAACAAACTGCTGCTGATTGCCGCCCATGCTGGTGCGCCTCTGGGTGTCCTGGTGGGCTCTGACAAGCAGCTGGACCAGCCGGGGGATGGCGCCCTGCTCCCGCAGAGCGCTGTGGTTGGCCGGGCAGAGGGCCAGGTTGCGAATTAGACCAACTGTTGCCTAAACAGAAGGGTGAAAAAAAGAAAATTGACATTTTGTTTGCGCTATAGTTTCATTCCTCACTGGCGATTAGTTTACTTCAGGACCGTACATTAACCAAGAAGAAATTACCTTGATAAGGGGCCAGTGGGATGGAGGGTGCAGCAGTTTGACCACCACAGGCAGGCCGTAGTGAAGGCGCACAGCGTTCTGGGCCATCTCAGCGTCCTGGTGGCGGGAGGTCAGGTGACGCAGGGCGCAGACGGCCGGCTCCGTGATGTCCTCTCTGTCACCAGCACGGAGCACCGTTCGCACCAGAGCCTCAATGCCACCAACCTGCAGCGAGACAGTGATTTCCTCATGTTTATGTCTGAAGAGGTCACGTGTATATTTACAAAATGTTTCGATACACACCTGGCAGACCATCAGTTTGTTGCTGTAGTTGTTGCAGGTCAGGTTGGAGAGGATGCCAGCAGCACATGTCACCACATTGATGTCATCACTGCCCAGCAGCTGGACCAGAGTTCCCAGGAGACCTTCCATCCCCTCCTGAGACGCACACAGGATAGCAAAGCCAACATTTTATTGACCTTTTAACCCAATAGTACAAATCAGGTGAGCTTTCATTTACTCTTTGTGACCTATGTGCTAAATAGACACTACATTTCATCTGTCGCTCTGGAGAAGTGAATGAGAAGTGTACGATCATTTTGAATCATAGTTCTGAGGCTTCTGTGAAACTGGGCTGTACCTGTTTAGTGGCGGCATCTGAAAGATTCCTCAGAGTCCAGAGACAGTTCTGGACCAGACGCTGGCTTTGGTCTGTCAGATGAAGCCCCAATGCCTGCATGCCCCCTAAAAAACAAACAAACATACAAACAACCACAATAAGACACACAGCTGCAGAGGTTCTACCAGTGTACATCAACTTCAGACCTTTCTCACCGCAGTGTTACTGTAATTCTGTACCAGCAGCGTGTACATACCAGCTTCTACAATGGCAGGCTTGTTGCTTGAGCAAACAGAGAGCACCTTGAGCACTCTGCTAGTGGTCCACAGCAGTTTCTCATATGTGAAGGTCCTCATGATGTTGACCAGGGCCTGGGGACCTCCGCTGGCCAGAATGATTAGCTGAAGAAAGAGAGATTCATATCTATAATTAAACTATATTGAAGGTCAAGTTCAACAGTTAAATGCACTAAAAACAGACACATTTCTGACAAAAAGTAAGAATTCAGAGGAATACCTTGCTCTCCTGATTGCCATATGCCAGGATCTGCAGGCAGTCGGTGGTGATTGCCAGGAACTTGACATTAGTGTTAGACAGCAGGGCTACCATTTTTTGCAGTCCCCCAGCTAGGCGCACAGCCATTTTGGCCCCCTCCTGGTGCAACAACAGGTTGTGGAGTGTGGTGATGGCATAAAACAGAACGCTGTCCACGGGTGAGCTGGAAAAATGCAGCGAGTAAAAAGCAAAATAACAGTTTAAGTGACCTTCAATAGCATTTCTTTCAATAACCCGCCGCTCACAGCAATCGTGATTATCATCACATTACCTACACAATCTTACTATTAGATCCAACCTTTACCAGGGGATATATATCCACATTTTTTTAAGGAAGTTGTTTTCTCACATGAACATGTGAAATATTCACAAGAATCTGTGAACAAAGGTCCAGTCTTTTCCTGCTGTGACGCGCTTGTTCACACAAGCAAAACCCAGTGGGGGGAAAAAGCAGAGGAACAAGTGTCTAGACCACAGGAGGCAGGACGTGATGCAGACTTTTGCACTTTGGAAATCATTGTGATATCCAAGTAGGCTGAGAGTGGCAGACGATGCTCCTTACTCCATTAGCGACTACAACAGAGTGAAAGAAACTAAATACAGGTGGGCAGACGGGTCGGAATAAATGCAAAGTTGTTTGTCTCTGCTGATTAGATGTTTACTGGTGACGGTACTCATTAGTGTTCTTGCCCACCCATGCTTATGTTTCACACTAAAGCACGTGCGTTAAACCGGGATAAGCAAATGAGGGGATTGCTTCAGGTGTTCAGGACCAAGTTCAGCAATGTTAAAAGATAATCTCTTTTGTTCTTGTGGCTGCATTGCATAATGACAGCCACAGATTCATGCAACTTCAATTGTGATCATTCATGAGACATTTATAGAAATTAAATGGCCACCAGAGCACAAACTTGAACCTTGAACTCAAAATATCTAGTAATTATTTGAAAAACTAACCCTGCCTTCATACATACGCGATCTTGGATTGATATGTCCGATTATAACTATTAGTCTTTACTGGTGAAAATCAAGTAATGTTTTTGTAAGCCACCTTTAAAAAACAAGACTAAAGGAGCCTGACAAAGCAGGAATCTAAAAAGATACATTTCAAAACCTATGGGTACAACCGTTGTAGAAGTATGTGTGTAAATCAAAGCTGCTCCACTCAGACATTTCAGTACCAACAGAATGTTTGCACTAAAAGCAACAAAAATATCCCAAACTGAACAGCTTTTGGAAGTATCTTGACATAAAAACTTCTACACTTCAAACCTTTAAGCTTCAGGTGCGTAGTCCATGTTGCTGCATGCTAGGGTTGTCACGATACTAAAATTTTCAACTCGATACCGATACTCAGGAAAATACTCGATACTCGATACCATTTTCGATACCACAAGGATAAAAACAAACACCCCAAAATTTAACTGAATTTTGACAGTTTAGTGTCTTTCATTTCAAACTGACCTGTTACTGATGTTATCGTGGCTGGTGGCCCGAATTAATTACCCTAATCCTGACCCTAACCCTAATCCTAACCCTGACCCTAACCCTGACCCTCCAGCCTTCATAATTGTGAGAAACAATTTTTGGGTTAAACATGTTTGGACTTATTGTACAAACTTATTTAACATCCACTATTTTGACATAATATTATGGATAGAGTTTAATTAAGTGTTTGAAAGATTAATTTCACTATTTTTAAATTAATGTCTATATTGCCATGAGGCATTAATATATTCTTGCCTGGGATTTTCCTTTTGGTGACGTAATCAAAATGGCCGATTTGGATGTGGGCTGAGACGGATATGTATCCTACTTGATTAATGGTTGCATGTTATTATTAGCCATTAGCCGCAGCTAGCAGTTCAAGGCTAACGTCACGTAAATGATCATAAACAACGTAAAAAAATACATAAATAAATCTGAGAGAAGGGGCGCAGCGACGGCAGGTCAGCGTCGCGCACGCGCGCTTGTGCGGGCTCGCGCGGTGGTATCGATACTTTTGAAAATGAGTATCGTATCCGGATACAACATTTTAGTATCGATACTTTTTTAAGTATCGATACTTTTGACAACCCTACTGCATGCATCTTAATTTACACAAAGACTGTTCTTGAAAGGATGCAGTTCCTTTTGGCTTTTTGCTCCAACTTGCACTTCAAACACAGCTAAGTGATTCCAGGTGCTAATTCAAACACACACGTGCAACATCCAGCGAGCTGCAACTTGCCTAAGAGCCAAGTGTTTTGGCTGTGAGCTTTAGCTTTTTATTGGCAAGCACAAAGAAATCTACCAAAGCTAACACTTTGGTGTTTTCAAATAGAGTTTTTGGCCCTTTCATTTCCCAGGAGCCGGTTAAGGACATAACTAGTCTGTCACTAATGGTTTTCTTTATATGAAAACCGCTAAAAGTTCTGTGACTTATGCCATTCGTCACCATTAGCAGCCGACATTAACTGACTCTTAAGCAACAACACCAACAGAGGCAGAGTCCACTGCCACAGCTTTACAATGTCTGTAGATTTCAACTGAACTGTACAGAGTGAGGGCAGCAAAAGAAAGCAAGCAACTGGGTTGTTTTTCGTTTTGTTTTTTAAACCAACATCCCTACACATTGTGGACAGTCGCATGCTGTTATTTTTCAAATAAATAAACTGAAACCTGCACCATAAAGAAAACAACCAGGTTCAACTGGTAGCCCTTACCCCAGCATCTTCACGAGAGCAGGGATGCCTCCAGACTTGAAGATTGCAAGGAGCCCCTCACGATGGTGGGAAAGGTTGTGCAGGGTGCCAGCAGAGCAGCGAGCCGTCTCCACGTCGCCGGTGTTTTGCATGGCACGAACCACTGCTGAGACCATCTGCGGCGAACGCATCAGAGCGTGGCGCGATGCTTCCTTCTTTGAAAGCTGGTGCACCATTACAGCCGCTTTATTCACGACAACCTAGAAGAGGGGTGAGATTCGTTAGGGATTCATCATCAGGGACTCTGGCAGAAATATCGGGAATGTGGGCGATTCACTCGGGTCACAGGAACACGAACCTGGTCCTCATCATTGAGCAGTTTGGTGAGCTCGGGTATGGCTCGAGTGGCCAGCTCAGCATCATCTTGATAGTTGATGAGATTGACCACTGCGTGCTTCAGCATCTGAGAGGGCTCTGCCAAACGCTGAACTGCCGTTGGGTGGGCAGCATCCAGCTGTGTGGGGGGGATCTGAATGCCCTCTTCCAAAGTCTCCGGAAACATTGCAGCACGCACACGCTGGGCCCGGGTCATGGCGTAGCCCTCAATGTCTAAAAGAAATACAAAATAAATAACAGGTGATGAAGTGAAGCTTAAAACTGATAGCATAGCAAACTGTTTTGAGTTATATGAACTTTTGCCGTGTGTGTGTTTTTGTCAGTAGTTCATACCTGTAGTTTCAGGAGTGAAGGGCTGGTTAAACTCCCAGTCATAGAGAGAAGGATCATCCTCCTCAGCATCTGGGTTTCCCTTGCCGCTCAGAGATGGTGCAGTAGTGGTGACGCCAGACTGAATTCCTGAATCCAGATAGGACTGCTGCTGCCACTGGCTCACAGCAGCCTTGCTGTCCCCCATTGCCATGTCCAGCTCCATCAAATCAGCTACAGAGAAGGAACCGACAGGAGTTAAACAAGTTGTGACAAACAAAAGGAAAGCAATCCGAGTCAGAGTTAAGTCTGCTTGGTTTGGTGCGTTAACATTTCAAACAAAAACGTCAGACCTATAATTGTGTCTAGCTTTATCGTATTCATGATGTTTGGATAATAAGTAGTACAGTGACTGACTGCATGGGTGTCTGATGATGCCAACAGTCTGCTGGTCTGTATAAACACATAGCAAAGTTTAACTGTAGCACACAAACCTATAATATCGCCCAATATTTGACTGCAGTTAACCATTTGTTAGCTTCAACACGATGAAGCTGAACAAAACTATATCTATCAAGTAACAGGTAGGTACAAAAGTGCTCAGAAAAAAGAATGCAATGGCATAAATCAATCTTAAAATGAATTTTATAAAAGTGCTTAAATGAGCAAAAGTTTACCCCCCCCCCCTTACACCTTATCCACTCACAAACATAAAACATCCATTTTCTCTGATATCCCCCACCTGCCACTCCTTTGTAACATAAAACATAAATTCCAGCACTTTGGACACTGTGACGTGAGCCATTACTTTTTCACAAATGTTCATAGTGTCTCAAAAACTAACACTCCTTAAGTTACATGAGTACAACCACTTATACTTCGATTCGTTTTGAGAAAAACAAGACGTAAAAAGAAACGTGTTTGTGTTAAAAACTCCATTTAGAGTCGTCCATACTCACACTGGGTAGCCATTGTTCTCGCCTGCCCTCAGCCCGCACAGCAAATATGTCTGGGGGGGAAAAAAAGGTGAAAAACTACAGTGAAGAGTAAGAAAACTGGCAGCCCTCACAAATATTTGGCAGAGTATAACCTGAAAGTAGTGTTCCGGATGTTCTCCTACGTGGTCTCGCTAATTAAATCGCTGTCTGCTGCGAATACCTGTTTCCAGTCCCTAAAACCTCTCGTCTGGCTTGCTAACGTAGGTATGGGGGGAAATGCCGAGCCTCCACCTCCAACCGAGAGAGCAAAGCGGTGGGTATTTCCAGGCCAGCACAAACACAATTCACCATTCAGCGGCAAAGAACATCAAAGGCATATTTCTCCCCCCTCCCCCTACCACGGCCAAGTTCCGACCTCGCAGCTTGGGTTTCCAACGAGCGTCTCCCCCTCCACCCGCAATCACTTCCATGACTCCTCCTCTCACGGTACCTCTTACTACCAGCTTTACAAACTGCCATCAACAACAAGCGAAAAACCCGACTAACTAAACGAGCTGCATCTTTAACCTAATGAATTCTATCAGCTCTTTTTTTTTTAAAATAAAAATGCTGCTATGTATTACCCACCCCGGCTAGCTAACAGGTTGGCTAGCTTACCTTGGAGCCACATTAAGCCTAGCAAACGTGCGTAGCTAATCTTTCCGCTAGTTAGCCAACTAGCTAACATAAACAATCAGTGTCTAAGGATTTGGCCGTTTAATAGAGGACCCACGAGCTGTCATGAAACCCAACTAGCAGTACAGACAATGGTTATCACGAAAAAATAGTGCATATCCAAAGTCGTGACATTCAAGCTTACCCTCAAATATTAAATTCAGCTTTGATTAGCTTAGCAAACCAAGACGTATGAAAAGTAGATCCAGGCGCCACAATACAAAACCTGCTGTGCTGCCACCCAAATCAGAAAACCCCACCGGAGCACCGCCACTGATCAAATATGATTTTCTTTGGTGAAACACCCACTGACACGCCGTACATACATCTACGATAATCCACGCTAAACAATCAGTCTTTACCAGAGTCGAGAGGCTCCTCCGTGGTTTTTGCTAGGATTTTTTCCCCCTTTCTCGTGGCTGAAAATAGGAAAAGGACTGCTAGGTGAACCACCCGTACAAGTCCGAACCACACCCGCTGCTGCTCCGCCGAAGATGTTGCTTCCGCCTGTGCGGTGGAACATCAAGATGGCGAAAGGAGAAAACAGTACTCTGCCGCACTTGGAAAAGTAGAGCGTGCCCATTAAATACGTTTATTCAACGCGACAATTATTTCCCACTTATTCCAGAATAGGCCCGTGTCTACTTCAGTGCCAAATGGTCATATTAGCAGGTCGTTTTTCCTCTAGCATTAAAATTTAGATGAGCTACTGGAAAGAAAGAAAAATCATGACCTGCTTTGATTTGACACAAGGGTTAGATTATATTGAATAACTATTTCAAAAGTTTATTTCTACTGCACATAGGTCCACAATAGCTAAAATCATAAATTAATTTAGCTTAGTGAATGAAGTCACCAGTGGCCTGCATACCACAATTCAGCAAAATGTGAAGAAATAATTTCATTTATTTGCATTTACAAGATAAATGCATTTTCTGTACACAAAGCACACGTGTGTACCTTTTTAAAAGAAAAAGTGTGTTGTGCACAAAATATATGGACAACAAAATATATCTACAAGTCAATGCACTTTGACAGTTTCATTTAGACGCCTAATTGTCCTTTGAGGACAAAGTAACTGACCTTGACAGCTGAACTCAGAAATAATACTTCAGTCAACACAAATCTTTAAAAGAGCTGTTTTGAACTACTACAAATCTGCCTGTTTATTCATAGTTTTAATGACTTCTTTGTTGTTTTCTTGTCTTTCTGTCTCAGGGTTTCAACATTTTGTTGAACTTTCAACACACAAGAAATGTAATTAAATCATTTTAAAGCAGCACATGACTCATTATTGAATAAATGTAAACACATATTTACATGAAATGACTAAACCAAAACAGAACTGACTCCCGACTAGCTGTGCGTGTCCATGTGGGTGACACATGCTACTGGCCAGAAGCAGTACAAAGTACAAAGTGTCATTGAGCAATGTTGAAAGAGCAGGAAATGCAGAGAAAACTGACTGCTTCATATTTATTCTAAAACTGAAAGCACTTTGGGATATTTGTCCACAAGATGTATTTTCATTAGATGTAATATTCAGTTAAATCAGAATATTCCTAAAGGGAAACATACATTAAAGCTGTATAGTTACAATCTTTAAGGTTTTTTGTTTAGTTTAAGTCAGCGATACAAAGTGTGGCCATATTTCTTTTGGTCATTTTAAAGTTCTTGTTTAAATTTCCTCTCATGTGTTTTCCCCTTAGTTAAACAAACTCAAATCTATTTACGTCTGTTTATCTCAACATGGTGTACAGAAAAGATACAACATATTTCTAGATATGTAGGTATCAGGTTGAAAACCAATACAAATAGTATTGTTCTAGTTCCTTGCCTTTGACTATGCGATTGTACACAATATTAAAAGAAAACATAGAAAGAATGTTGCTTTAAAGTACGATAGTGTGCCTAAAAAATATTAAAGCAGTGTACACAAAGAAGTGTTTACAAGAAGTAACCTTCTAGAGCCTTTATACAACATTTGCAAACATTGTATTTTAAAAAAATAAGAAGAGAAGCCAAGTGAATCCGAATAAATACACCTTTTATTTGACTGATTGACAGATCGGATTATACAAACGCCAACACGCAGCTCTGAAATAACAAGACCAATCGGTGAGATAATGGCTGTACATTCTTGATGCGATCCTCCCATGTTCTGAACCCCTTTCCCCTTTTCTAAGCGCCACCCTGCCAGCAGTAACCACAGAACCTAATTTCTAGTGCTTTTTACTGTACAAGTAAAGCTCAGCTACCCACCTACCCTCTGCTGCCCTCCCTGTTCAATGCACTGCCATGTAGTTTGAAACGGGATGCAGTAGCTCAAGGGGCTGTGTGGCCAATTACAGAACAGGGCATCATGACAAGCCTTAATGCTCAGGTACCAAGTTTTATTTAGCAGAATATTTCAATTGAGTTTGGATGCCTAGTCTGGCAGATGCAGCTGCCTTAATAGTGGAGTTTGTACAGTTCTTAGTGTATGCGACTGGAAATGTTTGTTTTCATTTGTTTGTAATGCAAACTGCCAAAAAAAACAACAAAAAAAAAACATCCAAAAAAAATCCACAAAAAATGGATTTGGGTTGAATGAACTTTTCTAACTATTCCCTATTTGCCACATTCTCACTTTGCTGTTCTCAGTCTTACACACGCACACACACACACACAATCACACACACATACACACAAATACTGTATGTTTTTCCCTTCATCTTAAAAAAAAAACTGTTTGCATGTTTGTTTAGGTTTTCCCTCCGTCCCTTCCTTTAGCAAAGTGTCCCTTGCCTTACATTAAACACACACAATCATCCCTATATTACCTAAGTGCAATTTCTTTCACATGCGCCCTCAGCCTTTCCTACTGTAAAAACACCAACTGTACCATCGCAATAAATGGATGGATAAAACACCCTTGCTTTCATTCTTGAACCCACCTCTCTTTTCCTTTCTCCCCAACTGGTCCCCTTACTGATATATTCTCATGTAACAGACAGTCTTGCAAGTAACAGTGACAGATACTTGTCCTTAGTGTTAAAAGCCAGAAAAAAAGGGGGCTGGTTGGGTGTGGGAGAAGGAACATGGGAGGAGATGGCAACTTCTTCTCCTTGAGAAGAGAGTGAAAAGATAACGGAGAGGAATAACTGTACATCCACCCCTCCGCTTCCCCAGCATCCCTTTAATGAAATGTAGGGTGAAGGTGGAGGGGAGAATGGAGGTGAACGGTGACTGAGGTGGGGAGAAAAGGGGAACAGGGGTGAAGGGGGGTTGGTTGCTCTTCATGTGTCCTGGCCATCGTTGGCGGGGGTCTCATTGGCATTGGACAAGTCTGGGTCAGTCTCTCGGCTGGATATGCGGTCCAGCTCTGCCTGGACGTCGCTCAGGCCCAGCTTCGATCCTGCAGCAGGTGTTGGTGGAGACACAAATTAGGCCATTTTACATTTTTCAGATTGTTTTTTTGTGCAAAAGCAGGTTAGCCAGTGCAGTAGTTAAAGAAAAAAGAAAAACAATACATGGAAGATTTTCAAAAATGAGTGGTCACAATGCAATGAAGACAAAAGCAAGCAGCCATGGTTAAAATAAGAGCTGGGAGAATATTTCACATTAATGAATAGGAACTCACCCCTTACGCAAACAGTTAAAAGACGGCAGTCCCTTTAGCGCTCTCATTATGTCTCAGTTCATTTGTAAGAGGAAGAGCTACTAAACAGCCTCTGCTGCTCAGGAAAGCTGCACCTTCAGAAACGCACATCTGCACATTTTCACGTTTTGCTGACAGTGACACTTTGGGGCCGTCTCGCTTATATGTGGAACAATCTGAGCTGTGGGCTGCTCTTAATAGTTTTCGTACTGTTGTTGGTCCTTTAGCTTCATTTAGAAACTGAATCCTCTTTTGGAAATGCACTGTACCAAAGACACATCATTCACACGACATTGCTCGTTTAGGTAATTCACAAAATTTAAACAAAGGAAAGAGGGTTTTTTTAAATTATCTGTACCGAAATAACACAAATCTTGCAGGATTCTTCTTAGGGATTTAATAGATTCATGTATTTGTGTGTAGTGGCATGCAAAGGTTTTGGCTGCCATGCTGAAATATCTGCATTTACGTGAGCACGAGCTCACGGATCATTTCCACATACTAGAAAGTAGAGTGTAAAAGTAACGCTTTAAACAATTTGAGGAGAAAAAAAAAGGAAGCTGCGCAGGATAAAAGTTTGGATAGTGAAGCCAAAAGATCTGTTAGGGCTGTGGCTTGCTACAGCTATCATTAGGGCAGGTCAGGCGAAGCAAAAACTGCACAAATAGCCCAAAACCTCATACCTTGTCCTAACCATGTGGGTCCACCTGCTCCGTTAAAGGTCCTAGCATTCTGAAAATAAAGATATTTTATCCCTATAGAGCAAAAGATGGCTTCCAGAGGAGAGGAGATGATGAATAAATGGAGATCTAGTTTAGGTTTGAGAAAACTGGATGGTATGGGAGCTGGTTTTCGGTCATTTCTCTGTGGATGTTTTTGTGTTTGGATCAGCGTTTAGAGCATGGTGCTATTCCTTGGTGCTTTCAAACAACCCAGCCTTATTAGAATCATGCGCATTAATTGGGACAAAGGCAGTTATGAGAAAGGGAATGCAACATGCAAATAATCACACAAAATAAACATGTAAAATAACTTTGGGAGTAACTGGAGGACCTTAAAGAGAAAAGATGCAAGGTGGCAAAATATGGCTGTGGAATTGACCACAAATATGAAATGGGTTCATCTGGTGAATTGTCCATGAAATGCTAAAACCGTCCTGTTTTACTAGTGCCCTCACTCACACCTGTGAGCTGTATTTCCTAGTTGATTATTACTGTGGTTTTGAGCTAATGAAACCAAATTATAAAAGGAACAATTGTAAATAAATATCCATTGGATCATCTCCTGAACTGCTATTTTAGTTCTTTGCTTTTTTTAAAAAAATTCCCCCACTGGGTATGAATTAAGAATTTTTCTAATCCAATTTTAATGGGATTCATTTCTAAAATTTACAACTAGCATATTGGAATGAATGAGTATAGGAAAACCGGCAGCGTAGTCAGTATGTGTTTGTAAGAGAAGTAAATAAGTTTTTCAGGAGGTTTGATCCCAGAAATGTTCTTCCTTGGACACCGGAGAAAGGCAGAGGTTCAGGATAAGAGGGTTAAAAGAAAAAATAAATCATACACAAGCAACGATGGATGAGAAATATCTTGCTCTCACACACCTTAACGTGGCCAGCATCCTCTGACTAGAATGTGCACACACATACACATATTATGAATGGTGTTAAAAGAAAAATGATGTGTGGTTAAAGAGCGGAAAAAATAAAACTTACAGAGCTATAAAAAAAAGAACATAAGCGATGGAGATGACTGCGTGGTCCCAAGAAGCAAACACAGGATTTGATGGTTATCATTATAAATAATGATCATAACCATTATTATTTATGTCTGGAGTGGAGAACAAGTGGGGAAATCATGGCAGATGGCAAAAGGGACCCCAGACAGAGATGGACAGATTTTCTCCCGGACTGAGAAGTGCTGCTCCTCACCTGACTTCCGTACAGTTCCAGGAGTATTGTTGCCACCACCGGGCGTCCCGGGCCCTCCTGCCCCCGCCTTTTTTGTCAGTAGGCTGTTAAAGAAGTTGGCCAGCACCCCCTCGCTGGTCTGACCTAGAGGATTATGAAAGAGGAGTTGAAAAACAGAACGTGGCGTAACACCCTGGCGCAGCTATGGACGCCACTGGCCGTGCACGTACCGGACTGTGGCATGGCGTTGGCGACGTTGGCCGCTGCAGAGCGGTTACTTGTCCTCGGCGAGCCTGTGGGCGCCCTGCTAGTGGTGTCCTATGAACAAAAACGTCTCGTTTCACACATATGGACACTGGAGGGGAGGCTTTCTTCATCTTCTGAGCCAAAACCAAGGGGGGATAATAGAAGGAGCACTCACCACTGGTCGCCCTGCTGTCACAGCAGGCTGTTTGGCAAGCAGCGACTGCAAATTACAGCACAATACACACACTCACTCCAATTAGTACTTAATTACCATATCAAGACCATTAAGCCAAATCTAATTTGTGTGCCCACAGGCACTGAGCTAACTGGCATTAACACTTGAGAAATGTTATCTGACCTGCAGTTTCACCAGGAACACTTGGTCATCTTCTGCCTGAATTTCTTTTTCATGAACAACCTAATAACAGAAAAGACAGAGAGAGAAAAAAAAAAGTTCTTTTTTTTTTTCTTTTTTTGAGATAATTCATCTTGGACTAGGTCAATATCCTTTCTTTGTTAGATCATCTTGTTGGAATCATGTACCTTTCGAACTGGAGGTTTGACTATTACGTCTTCATAGCCGTCGTCTGCTTTTACTGTCTGGAAGTTCTCATGAAGTATTGCAATCTTTTTCTCATTGTCCCAGCCTGATGGACTATTATTTAAAAAAGAAAAAGAGGATTATAAACAAAATACCTGTAGGGTTCCTCAGAGATGTGGTTTACAAACCCGGCTTACATGAAGACAGCATCCCTTTCCACCACTTGAGCAGGGCTGTGGAAGGGAAAGCCGTAAAGTCTGTGGACCAGATATTTGTACAGGATGTCCAGGTTCTTCATCTCCTTCACTGATGTGTAAAGCAGAGAGGCGCCATCTGAGATCACTGTCAAGGATACTTTCAAACACCACAAAGTCTGGTTACAAATGTTAATCATATAATCTTTTTGTGGTTCTACTGCTGAACTGATTATAGCTCGAAGTAACTGCTACCAGCTAATTTTAAACACAATAAACCTGAAAGGCAACTCCATTGTTATTTAATATTGATTGGAGAAACCTCTCGAAAACAAGCAACCCGAAGCAGAGCTGAATAATCTATTTATAAAACCTGCCTTGCTGCAAAGCAGCAGCTCAATAACTCGGAGTGGCCAAACTCTGAGAAACTCTGCAGAGAAACTACTCGCTTCACAGTGAGGGCAAAAAAAAGAAAAAAAAAAGACCCGCACTCCTGTTGTGGGAGTCGTGTCACAATCCCTCATCAGCAAACAGCTGTATGTTTGAAGAGTGTGAAAGCAATAAAAGACCAATTCAACTACGTTCATCAGAAAACTGCACCAGTGTGTTGCTTGAAGGATACACTGCAGACAGAAATGTCTGATGTGGGACTGGATGAAGTCCAGGTGTTCGTCTCTGTAGTCATGCTCCTTCTCCAAGGTGCTGATGGCGTCACACTGAAGGCCGATGAGAAGGTGTCGAAAGTCCAGTGATGTTGGTGAGCAGATGTTTAAAAAAGAAGACACATAATCAGCACAAACTGAGTTCGTATAACATCTTCAAAAGTTTGTCTTTTGCTCTGGGAGGCACTTTGGGCTGCATTTATCCTTAAGAAGGGCCAACGGAGTGAAGATGATGATAAAGAACAGCTCAGATAAAAGGCATTTGAAAACACAAAGGTCCGTAGCGAGTGTGTACCTTAGTGCAGACCACCACCACTGGTATTCCCAGGTTGTGCGTCAGTGTGTTGTCTCCTAACGGCAGCAGCACGCCCTCCTCATCTTCACTCCTCCTCTGAGGTGTGCCATCCTCCCCACTGCCCGGCTCTGTGTACTCCTGGAACTGTTTCACAACTACGAGCAAGTGAGAAGGGAAAAAATGGACAAAAACATATTCAAGATGTGGAAAAGCTTACCAGTAATCAATTCCGTTAGACTTCTAAAAACACCTCTTTTAATGAAAAATAAATCGAGGGAACGATTAAGTGGATTTTTGTCTCTTCCTTCCAGGAGCCCTTCTGTGACTAGACAGTTTTTTCCACCGCGGTTCTGACTGCTGTCTGAATGACTCACCTCGGTGTTCCAGCTCCCGCAGCTTTTCTGGGGCCACTCTGAGTTTGTCGATGTGTTCCCTAGCAACGGCTGCCCACTTCTGGAGGGAATCCAAAGCGTTCCACGGCCGCGACATGTCAACAGTTATCAGCAGCAGCGTGTTCTCGATAGAGTCCACCGGAACGGCCACGCCCTGAAGCCCCTTATGGTAAAGGTCCCCATCCAGCACCCAAGCATTACACCGAGTCTGGTCTAAACAGCCACACAGACAAGATGGTGAGAAAAGATGAGTAAGCTTTGAATCAATCCACTGCAATTGCAATGCTGGGTCCATCTTCTTATTTACAAAAAAAAACAAAAAACTTTGACTTTGCAATTTCTCTTAAGAACTGGAGGCAGTTGCTGCTTACCATCAATGTCATCATCATGAACGCTGAAGTAAAGGTATTCCAGGCCACGGCCCTTCATGTACTCCTCAATCCCCTGTAGTTTCGCAACCAATGTGGTCTTCCCCGAACCCACCTCACCTAAACATGAAAATGAAAAAAGACAAACACTAAATAACAGTTTAAAGGGTCAGTCAAATTAAAGATGCCCGTTTCATGAGCTACTGAGGCCTCAGGCATGCCTTAATATTATCTTTTATATTGGGATATATTTATATTTGGGCTATATTCCAAAACAGTCTGTGACTTGTTTGACTAATTTCTAAGGCACTTCAGTCAGATTTTGATCCTATAGTGCAAAAAAAAAAAAAAACGCCATTAGTTTAAACATGCTCAGAAGAGACAACCAGTTGTTGCATCCTGATTGACAGAAACTAGATCAGAGGACAAACAGCTGTGGCCACCAGCAAATCACATCACTGGTAGGATTCTGCAGTTTGTTCAAATGTCCTATTTGTCTACACTGCTTTCGCAGCCCTTTCTGTGTTCTCAAATATATTACGATGACAAAACTATCATCTTTAGACCTGACACATCTGCTTAAAGACCCTCTAAATAACCCATAGTTCCAGATGTACATTTGGAACATACAAAGGAAGTCTAATCTATTTTATTGAACACACACAAAAAATACTTCTATTAACGAGGGATAAGGGGCTAAACAATAACATTGGCTAGTATGACATCATATGCTGATAGCGTGACATTGTTATTGTTATTTATTCTTGGCTTGGGCCATACTGGTTTAAACCGAAAGGGGGCTTAATGTGTTGAAGCAGAGCTTTGGGATGGTGTCGTGGTGAATTTAATAAGCAAAGGGCTTCATTTCTACAACCATGCATAGGTAACCAACTCGCTGATTAGCTAAAATGGGTAGCAGGCAACGGATTATCCCAGGCGGATGTGTAGACAGTGTGTGTGTGTGTGTGTGTGTGTGTGTGTGTGTGTGTGTGTGTGTGTGTGTGTGTGTGTGTGTGTGTGTGTGTGTGTGTACGTGGACATCAGCGGGACAGGCAGGCAGCCACACTGTCTCATAAAGCCCACTACAATAGAAAAATCACAGTCCGCTGGTGTTTTGTCTCTGCCTGCCTCCCGTGCTAACTTGCTATTAGCACCCCTGGATGCTAGAATGACTTGCAGGGTTTAAAAGCAGCTCGGGTCGCTATCACAAGACGACGTGGTGTTGTCTATGTGTGCGCACGTACCCGCGGGTCAGTGCAGGAAAATACACCTGTCTCTTCTCAGTTTGCACCCAGATTCAAGCCCGAACACAAAAGCAGCATCAGCTCGGAGGTAGCTATGTTAGCTATCGAGCAGAATTAAGACTAGCCATAAAGAAGAGATGATACATAGCCCCGGGGCTATCAGAGCTAACGATGCCCATTGGCTAGCCAGGAGACTGCAGACATACACAGATACCCACCCATGACCAGGACATTTTTCCCAGACGGTAGCTTAGACCTTGAATGAGTCGACACTTCACTCAGGATGGTGGACCTGCAGAAAGAGCAGAACCGTTACAACAAAGCCAAACCAGGCTTGTCCGTTCGTGTACAAGCAGCGACTGACACGGAGAGGCTAAAGCGAGCTAGTGCCGCTGTGTCACCAGTCGGTCTGGTGCTGATGCTAGCTAGCAGACTAGCTGTCAAACCATCCTCCTCCCGGCACCGTTGACCCCTCTGCGTCCCCACACTTTGACCACAATAACCGAGCTTTAACCTCCCAACACCCACCATAAGTTCTGTCCGTCATCCTCTTCTGGGTTGGAGTTGTCCAATGTGCTCTTAGGTCCAGTGGAGGTGGAGGATAATAATGCACTCCTCCCTGTGGTCGCCATCTTCGCAGCGCTGGTAAACCTAACGGGGCGCCCGGATGTAGCGGCAGCAGTGAGCTAAGCTAGCCCGGTGCACAGAGCCGGGGCCGGGGCGTGGTCCGCCCGCCCGCCTGCACAAAGCCGGAGCTCCAGCACAGACATCAGATGATCTCATCCGCACAAGGACGCATCTCTTGGCTAATCATCAATAAAAAAAAAAAATTTTTAAAAAAAAAATGTTTATTTCCATTTTCAACATATTGAATTCTATAATATGTCTTTAAAAAATGAACAAAAACACAAAACATTAGCAAGAAGTCTCCACTTCAGGAAACTTTCACAATGCAATCTAGTTTCATTGGAGTGGGATGTGAATTTGTCATTGTTTGAACTCAGCTATTTCCGAAACACATTTCCTCATATTTACTGTATTACACAAAAAAGAATCAAATCACATTAGCGAAGAATAACATGTAAAGAAACCTGTGATACAACCTATATTACAGTTTACTTCCAACATATATTTCTCAATAAAAGTGTTTTTTCTTGAGTTTCTACTTCAGTGTGTAAGCTGGGACAAATCCATCAACAGCCCATATCTAGTAAAGTTGTATTTGACAGGATATTTTGCAGAATAGCAGACAGTTTGTCCATAAAAATGACCAGAATACAGGCCTTTCCCACAGAACCACACATAAAGCCGTTTTGGACAACATATCCTCTCAAATACGCTGGCCCACAAACCAGTGCCTTGATTTGTGAATGAAATGGCTCCGAGCCTAAGCCAGTAAGGAGATAAAGCTATAATTCCGTGTAGGATTTGGACAGACTTCAAATTGACTAGTGTAGAAGCTTTTTTCTGCACAGTGAAAAGAAAAAAGAAATCCATCTTTCACTGAAGATGATAGAACGTTTTACTGGCTGCAAGGTTAGTGCAGTGTCAGCTTTACAGGTGGAAAATACTTCTATTGTAAAACAAAAACCTTCATATTTAGGGACATAAATAAAGCAACACTTCGTTTGTTTTGTTTATTATGTTCGATTTTCATTTTCTTCTCAATAGCAAAATGGTTTCTGACCAGATTTGGATTAATCTGAGGAGAGAGTGTGTGGCACAGTGTGTGTATGTGTGTGTGTGTGTGTCGTCTGCATCCATCCGGTCTCAGGTGTGCGGTCACTGCTTATTATGAAATCACTGAAGCGCATCGCAGCCAATCAAAGCAGGGGAGCACAAAATGAGTTCTCCAAAGCTGCAGTTCACCCCAGCGCCCACTAGGTGGCGCAGAGGCACCGCGATCCCCGGCCTCTGGTCCCCGGGCACGGTGCGCTCTCTGCGGCCCCCGATGGAGTGAGCGGATTACAAACTCCTGTTAAGTGGCGCACCGTTTTCCTCCTCTCCATCTTTCGGCCGGAGTGAACCCAGGCGTGCAGAGCGCAATCCTCTCCAGCTCCGGTCGACTGTGGGCGCCCAAAGCGATCGTTGCTCCGCGGTGTAGGCGCTGGGGTTGAGGGTTTTGGGGAACATAGAGAGACACCCAAGAGTGAGATGGGTCCGGAGGCAGTGAGGTATCCGTGATTCTCTCGGTGAAGTTGTTCGGCTCCGCTCGGATCTTTTTTTTTTCCCCTCCAGGACGCTGAGGTGAGTTTTGTTTCTCTACATGAGGTTGGAACGGCTAGAATGGTGCATGAGAGGCAGAAGCACGTTGTATTGATGTGGACTATTTTTTTGGTTTTTGACATAGACATAACTCATGACTCCAACCTGAAGCCTGACAGAGTGGGGAGATAATTTCTTATCATTGTTTGTCAGCTTGTGTGACTTTGTGGGTGGATGATTTGCTGATTTGTTCCAAAGAGCCAAACTAACTGGAAAACTATATTCCATTGCAAGTCAATATACAAAATATAATTTCAAAGCATTCCATTGAGGGGTTTTTATATTCTGTTTAAGGCATTGGAAAACAGTCTTAGAAAGCTTCACCTTTAATATAATCTTCCTGCAAACATATATGACCAGATAAGTCCTGTTAGCAGGAAGATCCATATTATTCTCCATCTGTTTTTTATTTTGTCTTGTCAGCTGGGTTTCATTCTTCCTCACTTAACTGCCTCTCAGTTCCCTCTGATTTAATTCACTCCTCTCCTCCATCATTTCTAACTCTTCCATCCCTCTATGCCAACTCTAATAAGACTAAAAGTTCACAGAACCAGTGCACTTTGGATTTTCCTCCAAATCTTTTCGGCCCCAGGCACATTTTAAGGGTCCACTCTTTCGTGGCAGATTTTCCATAAGCGGTTCTCAAAGACTACCACATGCCTCTGTAGGGCGAAGCCTGTGTCTGATAGCCAATATGTGACCAGGCAGTTAATGGTGGTTGTCATGGACCTTCCATGCTCCGATCTGTGGTGCCAAATCTGTCACAGTCACTGTTGCACATATGTGGAGAGGAACAATCTCACAAGTACGCACGCCGAGACTGAAGACTTACACTGTGATTATGGCGCTGCTCAGCAATCAGGCACTGGGTTTTATTTGAGAATCACGGGTAAAAAAGCTTCGCTCCCATTTAAGCTATTTTCCCTCTTCTGTTGGATTGTGTTTCGAGATAAATGCTTATGATGAAAAATACATTTTAGGATGTGTTTTTTCAAAAGCTAAATCTTGGTTTGTGGATTAATCCAGGGATCCATGAGATACAGAACACACAACAAAAATACACTTATATTATAATGAATGGTCAGAGTTTCAGCAAAACATTTCAGAATTGTTTCATAAATATGTTTTTATGGTTTACTTTATTAGACATTTAGTTGTTTCCAGATTGTATATGTTGTCTGTGTGTCTTGTTGTCTCATTGTGTTTCCTGGAATGTTTTCTCAAATTTCAAGTTATTTTCTGTTGCACTGCTAAATTGTTTTTTTCTCCGCATAGGGCTTTTGGTGTTGTTTGTGCGTTTTCCGAGATATCGCATGTCTTCTATGACTGTGTTAACTTTCCAGAGAATTAGCTTTTGGTTTAGTTGTTTTATGTTGAACAATGATGTTACGTTTTCAGCCCAAAGCCCAGCCATGGTTAGATATTTCTTCATGTAAATATAGAAATTAACCAGCTGTCAGTTTTTTGCCAAACCACTGACGCTAGTGCAAGATCCTGTGATGAAGTGTGATGTGAAAATTAATTGTCACCTCCGGCAGTGTGTAACACATGTGAGCGCTGATGCTTGCAGAGATGCAAAGTGGGATTCAGCTCACAGTAGCTCTGGCTGTAGAAATCTTTCACATCTCCCGTCACTATCGGTGTCTTCTGCTCTCAGCCGGAACAGACGGGCATCTGCTGCTCCCCACAGACACACACACGCACACGTGAACACACACACACACACACGCACGCAGATGAAATGTACAGCTGTGGACAGGGGCAGGCTTGGACATCCAACTAACTTATGGCCACTCCCAAACAGCCCTGTTTCTATGTTACACCTGCCATGTGGCTTAGTTAGCGTTCGTATGTCTGTGTACATCACGTCCACGCTTTACTAAAAATAATCACCCACACACACTTACAGTATGAATTATGGAAGATGTAGGAAGAGAGAGAGAGAGAGAGAGAGAGAGAGACATTCAGGTCAGAGTCAGACCCAGTTCCAACAGCTTCTCTCCCTAAGGATGATACTACTAGACCACTGCATTAATATTCAGCTGGTACCATCTAGAACATCAAACCAGAGGTTATACCTCAGGACTGACGGGACGTGAGACCACCCGAGGGTTGAACACTTTGTGCGCCGTAAAACACCTTTCTGGATCATAATGTAATGTATTTCTAACCTAATACCTGTCTTTACACTTTTGTTCCAACCTTCGTTTGAGCCATGGACAACTCCTTACTAAATAGGTCACGTGGTTGCAGTGGCTTATTATTCTATGTTCTATTTCAAAGGAGCAACTTTCGGTGTTACTCTTGTTTTCCTTGCCCAAGGGACGACCACTTTTCAATATTTTCTGCCGAGCACAACCGCTTTGTCTCGAGTTTGCCCGGAGACGGCTCTATTTAAGCGTGGAAAACGGTCCTATCAACACCTCCACAGTCCACTAATTAACACCTTGTCATTTTTACACCCATAGATGATCTCATGCTTTAATATATTTAACATAACATGTTAATTTGTTTGCTAGAGAGTTGGATGGCTAATTGTGTTTCTGTTAGACCAAGCTTGGCGGGTTGCTCCTAACTTATCCCAGTCTTTTTTTACTGGGCTAGGATTTCACAGTTCCAGGACAGTTCTTACAAATGATACACAAAACTTGAGATTGAATTAGATTTTTTTTTTAATGGTTAATTTGATTGTTTTCAGTTCTCTGATAAACTCTTATCAATTGATATTTGTCCCGTAATCATGCTTGAAATTAACCAAAAGGGACCTAATAAAGAGCTTGAAAGTACATGGTGTAAGTAGAGTAACTCCCCACTGTATCATCTATAAAATAAATGCGAAGCTTGTCTGTGATTTAGGAATCTTCCCTCTTATTATAATGAATATTTATTTTATTAAAAGGTATCTTAATGCTGCATATTTTAAGTTTAACTTCCAATTCTCCAATACAGAAAATCTTATTTGGTGCTGGATGTCACCTGATATAATGTTTCTTTTGTCTATCTGCATGAATGAAAGGATTTTGTACCAATTTCACGCTTAACCATCAGAGCAGGCTATCAGGAGGTGCTGCACACCTGCACCAGCGAGCAGTTACCTTTAAACATATCGAAATAGTCCTTCATAGGCCCTCAACACTATCTCTTTCAGGCTCTGGATGGTTCAGGATATAATGGGATTTGAATTAATACGATTTTATTGACACTCGACCAGGTGCGCAAACGATAGAAAAGCCAAAGATAGCACAAAAGCGCATTAAACTGCTGCTGTTCACAAAGACACTGACACAAAAACAGGTCTTATTAAGCAGCATAGCTGAAAAATCACCTGTGCGGTGCACATGTTGCAGCAGCCAGATGCCCTATCAGCACATTTCTTTGATTAATATTTATGCTCTCTAGTTTATGGCTATGAATTGCCTGTATTCTAAATGGTCTTGGAACATAATTGAATTATAATTGAATAAAAACAAAGCGTTTGACAGGCTTCATTCTAATGAAGTGGTGTTTCCTTGTCATAAAATGTGGTTAATTATTCTTTCATTCGACATCACCGTGGCATAAAGGCCTCTGTCGCTGATCCTCAGTACTTCAGAATATCCTTTCCAGGGACTGTGAACATTATATTAACTGTAGAAACCTGAGGAGAAAAAACCGGCTACATGTCCTAGAGACTCAGCAAAGCTCGCGTTACGCAGGTGTGTGTGTGTGTGTGTATGCGTATGGGCGTTTTGCTTGTGCATCTTTGCATCAATATGCATGCATACAGTCAGGAGTGGATGCATGTGCGAGAGCAAATGTGTGTGTCCAATAAAGTACATTTCATGGGCGCTGGTGTGTGTCTGGTCATTGCGTCTGAAATTCAGTAGCTTCACAGTACTGACCTTGTCCTGACACTGCTTAGTCAGGTCCACTGCATCTGTTCCTTACTATCCAAACAACAGGTCAGACTACAGTGCACTGCATTTTATCTATCTATCTATCTATCTATCTATCTATCTATCTATCTATCTATCTATCTATCTATCTATCTATCTATCTAT